AAGCCACGACCGATTTCATAGAGCCCCTGCTCAGTCGATGTCGTCAGATTTTGCTCAATTTAAGATATATTGTAGAGGGAAGAGTGTTACGAATTTTGACGTAAACCGATTCAAAAAATATTGATCTCTCAATTTTTTATGAGCATTTTACGAAAAGGCCTAAAAATGAGCCTATATAGAAATGGGGGTACTAATCCAACGATATCTTGCAAATGGCTCAATCAAATGAGCTGAAATTTTGTACTACCATATATCTCAGTGAATTCCATTTACCATAAAATTTTCCTTTTAAAATAATCAGCCATTGGGATTTTATGAGGCACTCAATATATGAGAAAAGGTCCATTCATGAGAATTTTGGCACTTCAAAACTTTTCATAGGAATGATATATGGCTCTCAAATTTGTACTTTTAATATAGCACTAAGAGATGTATCTCTCCTGAAAATTTCAGCTATTCAGACCGCTCCATTTGCTCAGGGCAGCCGCGTGAAAAACGAAATTTTGATATATGTGAGGACTTTTAGGATAGGCTTTCTCCCAACATACCGATTGTCTGGGGCGTTGGTTAATGGAATCTGGAAGTACTCTCTTTGGGCTACAATTCTGTAAAAAAATTAGCGTGGGATCTGCAAGATTGGCCCCAGGGCACTCAGTGCAAAATACGAAAAAATGAGCCCTTTTTATAGGAAATCTACCCGAGTACACTTCGAAATTCCTCCAAGGAGTCTACTATGTGACATAAATTTTATCTGGTAAAAATCAGCATTAAATTCTCTATTACCCTATATCAAAATATCCTTTCAAAATGAAAAAAAATTTTTTACGCAAAATCCCCCTACCCCCCTCCAGGCCTCTTCCTGTAACATTTTGATTTTCACAACCCTTGTACCCCCCTAGGGGGATTTTTCGCAAAAAAATCTTTTTTCATTTTGAAAGGATATTTCGATATAGGGTAATAGAGAATTTAATGCTGATTTTTACCAGATAAAATTTATGTCACATAGTAGACTCCTTGGAGGAATTTCGAAGTGTACTCGGGTAGATTTCCTATAAAAAAGGCTCATTTTTTCGTATTTTGCACTGAGTGCCCTGGGGCCAATCTTGGAGATCCCACGCTAATTTCTTTACAGAATTGTAGCCCAAAGAGAGTACTTCCAGGTTCTATTAACCAACACCCCAGACAATCGGTATGTTGGGAGAAAGCCTATCCTGAAAGTCGCCACATTGATCGAAATTCCGTTTTTCACGGGTCTGCCCTGAGCATATGGAACGGTATGGATAGCTGAAATTTTCAGAAGAGATGTATCTCTTAGTGCTATATAAAAAGTACAAATTTGAGAGCCATATATCATTCCTATCAAAACCTATGAAGTGTCAAAGTGAACATAAATGGACATATTTCCATATATTGAATGCTTCATAAAGTCCCAATGGCTCAATATTTTAAAAGGAAAATTTTATGGTAAATGGAATTCACTGAGGTATATGGTAATAAAAACTTTCAGCTCATTTGATTGAGCCATTTGCAAGATATCGTTGGATTAGTACCCCCATTTCTATATAGGCTCATTTTTAGGCCTTTTCCGTAAAATGCTCATAAAAAATCGAGGGATCAATATTTTTTGAATCGGCTTGCGTCAAAATTCGTAAAACTCTTCCCTCTACAATATATCTTAAATTGAGCAAAAATCTGACGACATTGACTGAGCAGGATGTCTATGAAATCGGTCGTGGTTTATATGGACCGCTCTTACAATACTGTTGAATATAAATAACATTTTCTATCGCATAAATGAAATTAAATAAAAATGTAGAAAAATACAAATTGTAGCCCTTGAAAAACTGTATAAAATTATGAATTTATATCTCCAAATAAATTTCCTATAAANTAGGAATGATATCTGACTCTCAAATTTTTACTGTCAATAGGACACTGAGAGATGTATCTCTCCTGAAAATTTCAGCTATCCATACCGTTCTATTTGCTCATTGGAGCCCCGTGAAAAACGGAATTTTGATAAATGCGGGGACTTTCAGGATAGGCTTTCTCCCAAGAAATGGATTGTCTGGGTCGTTAGTTATTAGAACTTTGAAGTACTCTCTTTGGGCTACAATTCTGTAAAAAAAACTAGCGTGGGATCTCTGAGATTGGCCCCAGGACACTCATTGCAAAATACGAAAAAATGAGCCTTTTTCTATGGGAAATCCACTCAAGTGCAATTCAAATTTCCTCCAAGGAATTGAGTATGTGATATAAATTTAATGTACTAAAAATTAGCATTAAATTCTCTATTGCCCTGTATCGAAATATCCTTTGAGAATGAAAAAAAAAATTTTTACGAAAAATCCCCCTACCCCCCTCCAGTCCTCTTCCTGTAACATTTTATTCTCAAAGCCCCTGTACCGCCCCAGGGGGACTTTTCGTAAAAAAATTTTTTTTTCATTTTCAAAGGATATTTCGATACAGGCTAATAGAGAATTAAATGCTGATTTTTACCAGATAAAATGTATGTCACATAGTAGAATCCTTGGAAAAATTTCGAAGTGCACTTAGGTAGATTTCCCATAGAAGAAGGCTCATTTTTTCGTATTTTGCAATGAGTGTCCTGGGGCCAATCTCAGAGATCCCACGCTAATTTTTTTACAGAATTGTAGTCCAAAGAGAGCACTTCAAAGTTCTAATAACCAACGACCCAGACAATCCATTTCTTGGGAAAAAGCCTATCCTGAAAGTCCCCGCATTTATCAAAATTCCGTTTTTTACGGGGCTGTCCTGAGAAAACGGAACGGTATGGATAGTTGAAATTTTCAGGAGAGATACATCTCTTAGTGTCCTATTGACAGTAAAAATTTGAGAGTCAGATATCATTCCTATCAAACGTTCTGAAGTGCCAAAGTTACGGAAAATGGACCTTTTTTCATATATTGAGTGCTTCATAAAATCCCAATAGCTCAATATTTTACAGCGAAAACTTTATGGTAAATAGAATTCACTAAGATGTATGGCATTAAAAAATTTCAGCTCATTTCGTTGAGCCATTCTTGAGATATCGTTGCATTAGGACCCCTATTGATATATATGGTCATTTTTAGACCTTTTCATAAAATGCTCATAAAAAATCGAGGGTTCAATATTTTTTGAATCGGCTTGCGTCAAAAATCATAAAACTCTTCCCTCTATAACATATCTCAAATTGAGCAAGTTCTGATGATATCGATTGAGCAACGTCGGTCGTGGCTTACATGGACTGGCTCATAAGGGGGTGGGGTGGGTGTGGGTGAGAGTACATGCTTCTCTCCGCTACACCTACATCGACCCCACACACATAACCACACACCCACCCACCCACACCCACACCCAAAGCAAATGAGTCGCTAATTTTCAAGCGCCATCTCTTCTATCTTATTTCAGTATACATGAATAATTCAACGTGATCAGCTGATAAGTGAAGTTTGGTTATTGCCGAAGCATGAAAACTCGAAACAAAGAAACTAATTCTAAAAGACAATCTCGATACTGTTCCTATTTTTAATTTATTCAGCACGTGTTACGACTAAAAGGGTTATCGATGATAGTCTGCGACCATGTCTCATTAGTAATTTCAAATGCTCTATAAATTGGTGCTAGTTGAATCAAGAATGAAAGACGAAATGCCCGGTTATGATGGATTTATTGATAACCAGAACATATGATCTATACATGAAAGTAGAAAAAAATTATGTCGTTTTTTTACGTTACAGATAGCGATTATGAACTTTGCTAATACTTTAACCCTACACATAATATGAAAAGATGCGTCTTTTCATACTCTACAACATATCCAAAATTCAGCCTGGGACCTTGAAATACTAGATACAAATAGGGTCAAAAACTATGCTCAAAGCTATCTGAAAAATTGATGAACTTCGATAATTTGTCAATTATTAGTACTCCTGGGCAAATCAAAAGAATATAATTCATATGGGATTTTGTAGAGTAAATTTCGCTCTATCGATTGGTATAAAATACTTATAGTCTTCTTATAGTTTTGGTTACCTTTTAGAGTTGAAAACACTTCTGAAAAAAAGTGTCAAAAATTGCTAATTTTAACAGGTCGTTCGAAAACCTGGAAAATTCAGATTTTAGAAGTCACCCAAGACCTGGTCAGAAAAATCTAAAAATTTGGGTTTATGGATAACTTTTTGCGCTCTTTTCAACTAGATATGCAATTTCAAAAAGTAAATTTTTTCGGCACCCTGCTTGGGTGGTCATGTCGTAGATTGTCTCTTAACAAGTTCAGTTGATGCATAGTGTAGAAAGTATGTATATATAAAGATATTTCCGTCAATATTTGGTTTTTCATTCGTCTATCAATATATTTATAGTATTGTCTATGACTATTATCAGTTGTAAAAAAAAGGTTTTAATCGTTTTTAATCGACTACAAATAAATGGAATCAAGAGAAACATACTTTAGAAGAATATAAATTATTTGATTGAAACCATTGAAAATCAAGTTTATATATTGTTCTAGTTGCTAACAAGACTTGTAAAACATATGGTCTGATATAGACAGTTGGAAATAAAATTTATTTGAGAAATTGTTTGTACTGAAACAAAGGATATTGTTTGCAGGCGACAAAAGCTGTATAAGAGAGATGAATAGAAGAAAAACCATACATGTGAAAACAACTCTAAAGTAAATTGTACTATGATCATTTCATTTAACAGCAGAATTAGAATGATATTTATTAAGTAACACTACAATTGTATATTCCTCTCTGATTACATTCCACTACAAATTTGAAATGTCCTATATCAATAAAAAACAAGCGCCCTCTAGTGAATACTCTTGTTGAATGGCTCTGAGTTTCTTCGTATGGTTTTGCATGATTTCTATCGAAATTTATTAAAATTATTCAGAGAGTTTTTGTCTATTTGTCAGATATTCTTTTCACATCGACTGCTTTCTATTTTGTCCAATATTTTATGACTGAAAAAACTTCATATTTCTGAAAATGATTCATATTAAAAACATCATTGATGATCATCATGGATCTATTTCTACATTTACTATTTTAACATATAATTGTCTTGCTTCGAATCTTGCTGAACCAAAATATTTTCCACGAACTGATCCAACACATCTTGATTTTTCTTATCGATCGAAATTATTTGAACATGAATTACAATCATTCAATGCTGATATTGTTTGTTTACAAGAAATTCATCAAGACGATTTTCATCAATGGCTCAGTCCATTTCTTTTTCAATTGGGATATGGCGAAGGTACTTTTGCTAAACGTGGTGGTACCAAAGCTAAGGATGGCGTTGTGATATTTTTCAAACGAGATAAATTTAAACTGATAAATCAATATCGACTAGATTATTTCGATATTGCACAAGTTCAATTTCCAACAGAAGCATCATTAGCTACATACAATGTTGCTCTCTTTTGTCTTCTGCAAATTCAAAATAATAAGGGTGTGGATGTGGGTGGCTGTGGTTGTCCATCTGCTGTGAAGCAATACCTACGTACCCCCACCCACAACCACACCCCAGGCCTACATCCATACCCACACCCACACCCAAGTTTACTTGTATATTAAGTTTTACATAAATCGAATTAAATAAAACAATATAATATGGATGTGTTATTTATTAAATGACTGAAAATAAACTATAATTCGAAAATAAATAACCATAATAAACTAAAACAGTATAGAATATTAAATTACTAAAACTTAACTTATATGTTAATTGAAAAATAGATCTAATAAGATAACAGAATATTATATATTCAGGTTATATATTAAATCATTAGAGCAAACACTTATAGGGCGTGAATGACACTAATTTAATAAGGTGAAACACTATTATACACAAAAGTTACATATTAAATAACTAAAAGTAAACTTATACATTATAGATAAATTGAATCTAATAGATAAAAATATTTAATATATAACTATTCTATTTTAAAGCACAAAAGGTCTTGCTATATATCCTAGATGAATTACATATTATAGATTAAGACCATCTTGTATCTTAACTGGAGAAACTAAACCGAAAAATCTAACTTATAACATATAAGCTAAATCTAATAGAGAAAATATCTATAATAAATACTACGTCTTAGAACACTAATATGGAAATTATACCTTATAAATAAATTAAAGTCTATTGATAAAAATCTATATTATATAGATATCTTGTTTATCACATGATTAAAATGCAACTTGCACAATAAAAATCAATTGAAAATAATAGAAAACTGTAAAATTTAAACATTATATAATAAGTCAATAAAAATGAATTAACACATCATAAATGAATTATATGTAATGGTTAAAAAATATATCATGTATTAAGAGTATAAATTTATACAACAACACAACTCATAGTTTGTCAAAAACAAGTTCGAATAATTTAAACTGTATCATAGATAAGTAGTAGATATCTTACGTATATGATGCATAAAAATTATTCCATAACAAATTCTCAGAGTTATTCGGCCCTATGTAAGAATATGTCAGTGTGTGATGAGTCAACGCGTGACTTTTCTTCAAAAGTAGTTTCAGTTCCTATCAACAAAGAAACATCCACTCATCGACTTCCAATCTATCAATATTTTGATAACATCCCTCATACAACATTCCAACGAGCAATCAAAGAAATGCAAAACTTCACCGATTCCCGAAAATACCGCTAAACTTGCCGCCACAAATATTATATCCACAGATAAACGATTGATGCCTTCTATTAGTTTCCAGGGAACTGATTTTACTGCAAAGGCATGAGGAACAGATTTAAAATGTGCATAATGGGCATAAATTGTATTGTCCAGGAAATCCATTCCAATATCGGCTAAAAGAGTGTACCACACGAGTCAGTTCTTTCGCGACACCCACAGCAGGTGCGATGCGTGTCGTATTGTCGTCAGTTTTGACGCGATCAGTCCTTTCGTGCAACCCACACCTTGGCGCACTCACATCGTCACCCGCGCCAACATTCGATAGTGTTTTGGAAAACTCATTCTGAATTTCCGTGTATTCGCCTTGGTGTTTCCAGAAATCTTCTTTTCTCGGAGAGATTTTCTTGTTTTCGGAAAGCGAAACTGTATTTTCGGAAATTCATTTCGGGTTTCCCGAAATTCATCTGATGCGGAAAGGCAATTTGTGTTTTCGGAAACTGATTTGGTGCGGAAAGTCTACGGACATTCCTGGAAAGTCATATAAGGCATCATATGGTTTAGGGAGCCTTTCTCATTGAATTCATGATAATGGAGTTGGTTCACATGGACGAGAATTATTACCTAACGGTTTACATGCTCTCAAACAAATAGCATCAATTGTTGAACTTGTTATACTTTTATGTTAACAAGAATGGCAAAATTTCCTTGAAATAAGCCTTAGATTTTTATTTTTATTTTTCATCTTATCTCTTTTGTCTTAGAAACATGCTGGTTTAGCTTTTATCAAACTTGTTAACGAGAGTTGTTTACTTGCTCATGCAAATAAAGATCATCTTGTAAAAGTTGCTAATAAAGCAAATTTTACTCCTAAAGAAGAAAAACTTTGTAATTATTTTCTAACATCATCTCGTCAATGATATGAAACAAGTGCATTACGTTTAAAAGAAAAATTTTTATCTCAACCGATTAATACTAACACCACTTATTTGAATGAATTTTGTTCATTTTAGAAATTAGTTCCATGAAAAGATTATTTAAGACGATAAAGACGTTTAATACCAAATTCAAATGGTATTAAATATGAAAGTATATTAAATTCATCATCAAACAAAAACTAATGATCATATAATAACAAGATTATATTGATAAATTAAGTGGTGGAACAAAACATCGATTACATGCAGCAATTGCATTAATTGGTAAATAAAATAAAACGAAAAAAAAGAGATATTGAAATGTAGGGTTTTGTTTTTTTGCTATTATTGTTTTAAGGACCACCATTAGCAGCTATTCTTGATGAATCAACAACTGGCGTTGATCCAAATGCACGACAACAAATGCAAGAAATATTTTAAAATGCTGTTAAAGCAAAATTAACTATTATCTTAACAAGTCATTCAATGAATGAATGGTAATAAAAAACCTCAATTAGATTAATAAGTTTGTTTTTCATTCTATTCTAGTGAACGTGTTTATAATTGTCTTGGTATTATGGTTAATGGTCAATTAGCCTGTTTAGCTACAATTCAATATTTAAAATCAAAATTTGGTCAAGGTTATACAATTGAAATAAAAGTTCGTTCAACATCAGATGATATAAATGCAACAACAATAAAAAAATGTTGNTTGAAAAACTTTTTGGGGGGTAAGGGTGTCAGGACCTGACCTCTATTGTCATTCCTGTTGTCTTTCCACTCGATATATGATATGTCGTCGTTTTTCTTTTTTTGTTGTTTGTTATAACTTTTTCACTTTAAGAAAATAAACTATAATAGTCAGATACTGTATAACAGTAACTCATTGCCTTTTTTAAATTATCCACACTTTGGTGGTGCAGTATCTTACAATATATATAAATGGGGGTCCTAATGCAACAATATTTCACGAATAGCTTCACCGAATGAGCTGAAATTGTTTATTGCCATACATCTTAGTGAATTCTATTTACCATAAAATTTTCGCTGTAAAATATTGAGCAACTGGGATTTTATGAAGCACTCAATATATGAAAAAAGGTCCATTTTTCGTAACTTTGACGCTTCAGAACTTTTGATAGGAATGATATCTGACTCTCAGATTTTTACTGTTAATAGGACACTAAGAGATGTATCTCTCCTGAAAATTTCAGCTATCCGTACCGTTCTATTTGCTGATTGCGGCCCCGTGAAAAACGGAACTTTGATAAATCCGGGGACTTTCAGGATAGGCTTTCTCCCAAGAAATGGATTGTCTGGGGTGTTGGTTATTAGAACTTTGAAGTACTTACTTTGGTCTAAAATTCTGTAAACAAATTCGCGTGGGATCTCTGAGATTGGCCCCAGGGTACTCTTTGCAAAATACGAAAAAATGAGCCTTTTTCTATGGGAAATCCACTCAAGTGCAATTCAAATTTCCTCCAAGAAATTGAGTATGTGATATAAATTTAATGTAGTAAAAATCAACATTAAATTCTCTATTACTCTGTATCAAAATATCCTTTCTCGTGGAAACAATTTTTACGAAAAATCTCCCTACCCCCCTTCAGGCCTCTTCCTGTAACATTTTGTTCTCACAGTCCCTACACCCCTTCCCCCCCAGAAGGATTTTTCGTAAAAAGTTTTTTTTTCATTTTCAAAGGATATTTCGATACAAGCTAGTAGAGAATTAAATGCTGATTTTTACCAGATAAAATGTATGTCATATAGTAGAATCCTTGGAGAAATTTCGAAGTGCACTTAGGTAGACTTCCCATAGAAAAAGGCTCATTTTTTCCTATTTTGCAATGAGTGCCCTGGGGCCAATCTCAGAGATCCCACGCTAATTTTTTTACAGAATTTTAGACCAAAGAAAGTACATCAAAGTTCTAATAACCAACGCCCCAGACAATCCATTTCTTGGGAGAAAGCCTATCCTGAAAGTCCCCGGATTTATCAAAACTCCGTTTTTCACGTGGCTGCCCTGAGCAAATGGAACGGTATACATAGCTGAAATTTTCAGGAGAGATACATCTCTTAGTGTCCTATTAACAGTAAACATTTGAGAGTCAGATATCATTCCTATCAAAAGTTATAAAATGCCAAAGTTACGGAAAATGGACCTTTTTCTTATATTGAGTGCTTCATAAAATCCCAATGGCTCAATATTTTACAGCGAAAATTTTATGGTAAATAGAATTCACTAAGATGTATGACAATAAAACATTTCAGCTCATTTCGTTGAGCCATTCGTGAGATATCGTTGCATTAGGACCCTCATTTATATATATGGTCATTTTTAGACCTTTTCATAAAATGCTCATAAAAAATCGAGGGTTCAATATTTTTTGAATCGGGTTGCGTCAAAAATCATAAAACTCTTCCCTCTATAACATATCTCAAATTGAGCAAGTTCTGATAATATCGATTGAGCAACTTCGGTCGTGGCTAGTGCCCGGCGTGACCAACTATTTTGGTCACGGTCACGTCACGGTGAACCCAGGCCGTGACCGTGAGTCACGGCCGTTTTCATGGTTTTTC